ACCTGTTGTTGCACGTGGGGAAACATTTCAACAATTTACCACAAGACGCAGGGGTACGGCAGAGAGGATGCATGACCGGAGGCGAGCATTGGTTTCGGTACCAAGGCGATGATGCTATCGAAGCGAATGACGTCATAGGATCTCCGTGCGGCCGGAGAGGGCCTTCTTGAAGTCTGCTCCTACACGAGTGAGAATTTTCTATGAACTGCAGTACCACGGCAAGGTACACACGAAGGATGCGAGGCATCCCGTGCTGTGCAGATCCGGGGTACATCGCACGTCTCCGCATTTGCCAATGCGTGGTGGTTCTCTATGCACGAGAGCCCGCACCACCTGCATGCCGTTTTCTGGATTTCAGCCCCGACACAGGCTAAAAGTGTGTGTTCTACAACATCCAGCAGCAAAGAACGGTGCGGTGAGGTATCTGTCTCCCGGAAATGTCCCAGGTAGAGATCAAGAGGGGACTTACCCCTCCTAGCGACGGCACCGCCCGCTGTACCGCCAGAATGCACGACACGCCTCCCTGCACGGTGCGGCACGTATGGCAAGATGGGCATTGGAGGAATCGATTTGACAACCATTCATTCACTCGCACTTCCACCGCGCACACAAAAACGCGAGCATGGGGGGGTTGAGAAGCGTCTTGTGATGCGAGCGTCTGAAGGGCAGAACGAAACTCGTTGGCACAGAACCCGATTCTGGACACGGACCTACTATAATATGCGAATTATTGTTGAGAAACGCGCGCGTACTCATGCCTTCCAACTCATTTCAGGGCCCATGGCCTCACGTTAAGGGAGGATCGCCACACGAGCAAGAAGTCTATCTCACACGCCCCAAGCCGTGCGCGGGGTTGTGAACACGTTTCTCGAGATCTAAGAAACAGAGTTCCCGACACAGTACTTCTACTGCTCAGGCCCCGCGTTTTCTTCCATGTAGGCCTCGGGTTCCATCCGGCGTCTGTGTCCCGTCCTCGTATACATCCCGTTCCGCGCTCTCACCTCAGCGATGATCTGAGCCTCGCTGCCCGGCACCACGGCGAGCTTGCACAGGGCCTCCACGCACTGGCTCCTCAGGTGGCGGTTGTGGGAGGAGGCGGCAAGGGCGATGATGGCCGGCGCTGCGCCTTCCTCGATCATGCGCTGCCTCAGGGACCTCTCCGTCGCAAGGTTGTTGAAAACCTGCGAGTGATGGGGGGGGGGTGTACTCATAGTCGTGCATGCCGTAGTCGTTTGACCATTGACCTCGCATCCCTACAAAGCCGGGACGGAGCACGCCGGGTTCTCACCGGACCAGGTTCTCACATCACCAAGCGCGAAGCGCCGTGAGGTATTTGGCGAGTCGCATGAAGGGTGAGCTGCATCCTGCTAAGGGTGTTCGGCATCTTGTGCTTACTTCCTTGCGTACGGATGACAGCTACGTATGACTTAATTTATTTGGTGCTTTCACTTCCAGAGACAGTTGTACGCACTGTGTAACTGCCTCGAGGAAGCTTGACCATTTTAACACAACGTGGTGCGATCATCCCCCGTTGCGCGGAGTGAGGTTTCTCGACCCCGCACAACATGATCTACTCGACCACCATTATGGTTACCGCCAAAAAAAAAAACGAGGTAAAAAAAAAAAAACGGTAACCTGGTTGCCGAGTTCACGAAGTGAATTGGCCTGTTTTACAACGTCGTTGCCAAGCGACGAAAACCCAATCCCGATGGCAAACACCGAGTGGGGGGCTTGTTTTACAACGTCGTTGCCAAGCGACGAAAACCCAAACCCCGATGGCAAACACCGGGGGGGGCGGCTTGGTTTACAACGTCGTTGCCAAGCGACGAAAACCCAACCCCGATGGCAAACACCGGGGACAGGCGAGTGATGGGGGGGGGGACGAAAGACTGGGTGACGCTCAAATCCCGAATCAAAGCGGAAATGGCACAGGGAAGAATGGAGAGAGCTCACAGGCGAAGCCCTGGGGTGGTGGTATTTTCGGGCACCACGAAGTAACCAGATGGGATTATCTGTCGCCCTGGCGGTGACGTGTCGTCGTTGGCAGGGAGCAAAGTGTGTTTTAAGGGTTTCCTCATGCTGTTGTTTCGAGGGGATGGGGGCGGAACAGCTAGGTTTGATACGCCCTGTTGGCATTCGCCATCTCGTCTAGACCACAGCTCCAAGAAACCGAAAAAAAAATCACCTCGGCGCAAGAACTTCGCGTTCGGGACTCCTCGCTCCTGGATAGCTTGGCGAGCGCGGCCACCCCTCCGTTCGCCACCACGTTCGCCCGCTTCTCGGGCTTCTTGGAGAGAGTGGCTAGGGATATCGCCAGCCGCCGTCGCCGCTCCTCGCCTGCTGCGCGGTGCGCCTGGGGGGGTCACGCATGCACGGGCGACAAAAGTAGTACTATTCATATCGCTAGCGGTTCCATATGTTTGAGGTTGTTGCCCGAACCTTTGCACGGATTGAAACGGTGAGCGGATACCCGTCCCACCCGTCAGAATCCACTCTTCAAAGGCAGCTCAATCCGTGGACGGGTTCGTTCACAGTCTCCGGTTTGCAACATGTTGCTTCCTGCTCGTGGTGTTGCTTGCGGTTCCTGGAGAAAAGTTCCGCGAACAAGATCTACAGAGGTATCCTGTAGATGCTTCCGTAGGTATAGTCAGAGTGCGTGCAAACCGGGCAGGTGTCCTCTCTTCTCTCTCTCTCTCTCTCTCTCTCTCTCTCTCTCCTCTCTCCTATTTGCTCTCTCCGGCCGCACACACTGTACACCCTTTTCCGCTTGATTACACTCAATCCAGTTGCCAAATGGAGCATGGGTGTGCTCGTAACGCCGACGACAGCCGATCGTAACCCGTGCATCGCTCTACCAACGCGACATAAAGGCCACCCAGTTGCAAGAAAAACAGAAGCGCTTTCTGTGTGAAATCCACGTGCTATCACTAAGCTTGTTGGCTGTTTTAGTTCCATGTTCCTTGCGCGTGGTTCGATTAAAGCAGAACGGTGATGTTCTGCACGACGTACGTATTGCATGGCCGGCGGTTTTCTACTTGATTGCCAAGTGCCGTTCGAACATCAGGTACTGCATCTCACGACGCCTCCCACACAGGACTCCAGCGGAACCAAACCCCAACAAACACATAGCGGGGCACTCGGCGGGTGGAGCCGTTGGGGTGTGGGACGTGCTTTAGCAACATCGACACAATACCTCACCTACCTCTTGTTCCGCCACGAAATCTTCTCCTTCCTTGGCCCCGTATTGAGCGAGAGACCTGTGCCTTTGCTCCTCGGCGGTGTCCACGCGAGTCTTCTTGGGGTCTCTGCTGGGATCCATCCGGCTGAGGTAGAGCATTCCTTGGGTGTTGTCCTTGCCGGAGTTGCCGAACAAGTCGCCCTGGGTGCATGCGCACGGACGTGCACACAACAGGGGTAAGGGCTTTGAAAGCTGGGACGGCAGGGCCCCTTCGGTCTGGTGGCGGTCTCCTACTCCTGTACTGCTGTAGAATACTCCAGGTGTCCACCTCATGGAAAAGCTTGAGGGGCTTGGCCTCAAATGGATTCCTTCTACCATCGAACCCCACCTGTTGTTAACATGTCTATTCTACCGTCAGCCTACTCGAGTAAGTCTTCGTGAAGTGTCATTGCATTCCATGCACGACGCGAAACACAAACAGGAGTTTGACCGTTGTACTTCCCCTATATACCTGGTAAGGCTTGAACAAACTCTTGACGACATGAAATTGTTCCCTGCCTTCGCCAAGGCCAGGGGTGGAGACTGCCGCAGGAAGGGATCCCTTGGTCAAGGGTGGCGTGCGCTTTGAAGCTCTCCGAGTCTTTTCGTCCGAAGCCGACAACGACGTGGCCGCGCTTCCTAGCGCTGCGCCTCGCGTAGGCAGGGCTCGGCTCCCCAGCCGGCTAACACGCCTTGCTCCTCCCCTCCCCGCCCCCTCAACGGGGAGCTTACCCATCGCTGTCTCTCGGCAGCAAAGGTCGCCAGGGGCACCAGGTTGTGGGAGCACGTACTACAACCTGGGCATAACCTCAAGGTGTACAGCTATCCCCGCCATTGCCAAGAGCAGCGTTCATCCAAACAAGCTGGCTGAGAGCACACAGAGAGATACCAGTTTGATCCCTTCCTCCCGAGGTCCCACCCCAACCTTCCACCGGTTGCAGTTGGTATCCAACCTGCCGCAACCTGAACCTCTGGCAGCCTGTAAATTGCGTACATGCGCAGGTGTGCACCAGTACAACGCGCAAACCTAGGCCCAAACCTCATCGTGCCCACGTGCCTACTTTGCATGGACAGGCGTCGAAACGCAACATAAGTGCGGCGAGACTCAGCGCGAACCGAAAAAAAAAAGTTCCGACACATGCAGCAGGCAAGCAGGCACGCGGCACGTGGCACGTGCATGTGCATCGTGCATAGACACAGGGTTCGACTCTGCATGTGCATAGACTCATCGACTCTAAGTGGTAAACAACATGCAGCAGGCAAATGATAGCATATTCCAAGAACGACACATAATTTTTTGTTGGCATGAAATCGACAGCAGCAGTCTGGTACTGGTATTCAGCGTAGACTACATACAGCTAAACAGTCTCATCTCACCGATCACCTCGGCGACGGCCAAGGATCACTGCTGTAATTCATGGATTATTAAGAATGACATTCGCTTTGTTTGGGGGAAGGGGTGCAGTTTTTCGGGACATACACCCGAAACATGCCTACTCCGGATGTTGCAGCCGTGGGACGGAAATGCATACACGTATGCAGTAATGGGGTCCCTCACTCAGCGGTAGTGTCGGGATGTGCTCGCCGAACACCCGCACCAAAAAGCGTTTGAGTACAGTACTGACTGGCACCACTGATGGACGACTATCGTACGGATGCGAGAGAACGCACGGTGTTACTAGTGTTTTTCAAAGCTTGATTGCTCCACAACCCGGAGGGTGCGAAAACCGATACCTCTCAAGATAGCCCTCGACGTGACAACATATTTCGAAAAATTCCCCCCAAGACCACGCCTGTCGGCAGTGGTACCCTCCTGGTTGTGGAGAAATCACGCTATGAATAAAGCTAACACCCTCGTGCATTCTCTCGCATGAATTACGGTGTACGTATTTTGATGTCCATAAGGCAGGAACACCTACAAATACCGTGTGGCGTTCCTCTGGTACGTGTAAAAAAATACTCCATATGCGACATCCTCGAATGAGCGGGATGGCCAACAGAATAGATCGGGGTCGCCGTCAAAAGAATCGTTCCATTTGTTGGGATGCTGGAGCGACCCAGGGGAGCCGTAGGGCTCACCGGGACTAGCGCGACGCGCACACCGCGCCAAAGATACTGACATTCAGCAAGACCAATAGAGTTTCATGTAAGATGACCAATCGCGCCGCAGTTGATGGGGTCGCGGCGTTGGTTGAACAAAAAAAAACAGCTGGGTGGCTTCGTGCTCTTGTGGAGCACACGCAAGCTCCCCTGGAATCCGCAAACAAGGTCCCTTGTGTACATGCTTGCATTAGACTGCCGAACGAAGAGAAGCACAGCCCCCACCACCCATCCGTTAATCCATCCGTGCACAGCGTACGTCCAAGCACACTCCCGTTCCTGTTTTAATTTACTTGTTGACCCGCTGGCGCGACCATACGTGCTGCTCCTGCGTCTAACATATACTACTGCTGCGTGGGCTGGACACACGTAAACACACTCAGCCAAGCTCGCCTAACGGGCATCTCTAAAGGTGAGGGAATGACGCAGGTCTCCATGAGCCCCCCCCCACGCAAAGCAATGCGAAAGGCGACACGGAAGCACAAAAGGCGGCGGCTGGCTGATGCAACGATGTAACCCGCACGTTCGAACACCAAGAACACTCATCACGATCACCACAACAATGCATGACAAAACGATGTCTGTCTTTGATCGCACAACCCGGCCGAGCCGTGACACGAGAAAAACATCAACGGTGCAGCGCAGCGATAACGAGACAGAAAGCACGCAGCCTCTTGCGCCGCTCGTGCCAAGGGGGGACGGAGGCAGCGCGCCGCGCGCGAAGCCTGGAGGCAAATCCGAGGAGCTCGGCGCCAAACGACGGCAAGCCTCTCCGATGCAAAGGCGAGAGAAAGCAACAGAGGGCGGACTGCCTGACAAACAGAGAGGGGGGCTCGCGTAAACAACCCAGTAAACCGACCGCCCATCCCATCCCAGAGCATCAAGAGAGCAAAGCACGCACATGTGCATAAGCACAGAGCGTCCCGCGATCCGATCTGTGGTCCCCCTTTCGGGGCACCGTGACTCATACCCAGATAGAATACATGTCCTACTTATGTTTGCCACCAGGTGGTGCATACGCGGTGCCTACTCTACAGCAGGGGAGCCGCCTACCACGCACGTTTCCCCAGCGACAGATAAACCGCCCCCTGACGCGAAGAAAGCCATCAAGCACCTCCCATTGCGCACCCACTGGCCCCGACTTACTAACCACCAACCGCCACCGACGAACAAGTACGCACCGGGGGGTGACATGGTTCGCGCACTACATTGCCTCCAAAAAACAGATGGTATTCTCCTCCAAACGATTACTACAGACCACGGACGCGGTCTTCCCCCTACTGGGTGCGCCCGGCTGCCACGGCAAAAGACATGCAATAAACGGAGGCGTTGGCTGGCGCCACAAAAGACATGGAACGACGAAAGCACAGAACGCATCGCGCTAAGAGGTGTGCGCTTTATCACGCAACCCCAAGCAGCGTGTGGGTCTGCGACCCGCTCGTCGCCCCCTGTCCGCGGCGGCGTGCATCGCTCCCACATGCCATGCACCCAGAAAACCAAAGAAACACCTCAAAAATACGCAACGTCTAGACAATGCCCTTTGCTTTGCTTTCGAACGACAACACACAACGAGAACACCACCACGCACCATATATATATGGAATCAGTACCTGGAAAAAGCCAGCGTTCACACCGACGCGCGTGCCCACGAGCTTGCGGTTCGGACCAAGACTCGGCGACCCCGCAAACTCAAAAGGGCAATGCAAACGAGGGGGGAAAGGAGAGTGGGTGAGTGACAAGCGTGGCGAGAGTAGCCGCTTCCCGCTGAAAGGCTCCTTGTCCCGCGCGTGCTCTCTGAACTCTTACCACAACGCCTTCAAAAATGAAAAAACAAGACAACCAAAAAAAAGATAAATCTGCAAAGTGAACAAAAAATGTGATGAAACCTCCAGCCAGAGGCAGAGCACGCGTGGACAAGACGCCAAAATCTAGGAGACCTTCGTAGCGCCAGACAAGCCCCTGCCTGAAGACGCCGAAACATTGACAAATCGCATCTCCCATCAAAATACGTCATTTTCACAGGAGAGTGCTAATTGTGATGTCAGACTTATCAACTGTTCTTCTCGCAATCGAGAAATATAGGGCGGGCGTGCAAGCGACTGAGTCAAAACGCTCGCACCTTTTCCCTCCGCCTTCAACAAAACGCTCACCAAGCAAGCAAATTTCTTTTCTACAAACAAAATAATCCGATCCCGCCCCTTACGAAGCCCGTTGCTATCTCATTGTCTAATACTTCACGGCCAGGGAACCGATCCAGAACAAGGTGGTCAACCTGTAAAACACCCGAAAGGAAAGATCAAAAACAAGAGAGGCCTGGGGCCAACTCGGCCTGCTGCGCTGATTGATTGGTCGGTTCTCCCTCAGAACCAGCGCTTCATCGGCTGGCCGATTCCTACGCCCATGGCGCGGAGCCCCGCCGCCGCCGCCGCCGCCGCCGCCGGTCGCGGGCGGTTTCTCTCTGTCAACCCCACGGACAGGAGGGGCACACAGACGCTCCCAACGACCGGCGTCGCCCCGGCCGCCGACGCGGTGGCGCCCGAGACCGCCACGTCGACGCACGCCTCCAGCCTCAGGAAATCCGCCTCCGTGGGGCAGCCGGCGGCCTCGATGAAGAAGTCCACGGCCGCGTACTCGTAGAGTGCCAGCGGTGGGGTCGCCTCCGCCGCCGGCGAAGCTGTTGCCGCTGCCGTCCCCGACCAAGAAGACCTCACTCCAGCTCCTGCTCCTCTGCCGCCGCCGCCGCCGTTCATCAGCAAGCCCGCCGCGCTGCTGCTGCTGCTGCTGCTCTCCGCGGCTCCCCTGTTGATAGTGAACTTCGGCGAGAAGCGGTCTTCGCCCTGGGAAACCGGCGGGAAAAATCCGGTCGTCGTCGTCACGATGGCGGCGCCAGAGCTCCTGGAGCCGCCGCCGCCGCCGCCGCTGTGATCGTTGAGGAGGGCGCGCAGGCCGCTGACTCGCCTGACCTTGAAGGCGTGGGGGTGGACGCGGACCGCGGGTCCTTCTTCCACTCGCTGGACCACGGCCCTCAGCTCGATCACCTGTCTCCCGGGACAGTTTTAGGACAAGGAAGACACGGGTGCCGCAGAAGGTTAATGAGGTGCACGCGGGTGCGGAAGCTCGTGAAAAGGGAGGGAGGGCGGGGGAGCTGGTCCAAAGTCGGGCCGGCACGTATCGAGTCGCAGAGAGCGTCGCACGGAAGAGCGCGGTGAAATACACCGTCAACGCTTCTTTCATGACACGAGCGGGGTTGTACTCGTAGTCGTGCATGCCGTAGTCGTTAGACCATTGACCTCGCATCCCTACAAAGCCGGGACGGAGCACGCCGGGTTCTCACCGGACCAGGCTCTGACATGACCAAGTGCGAAGCGCCGTGAGGTATTCGGCGAATCGCATGGAGGGTGCCCTGCATCATACTAAGGGTGTTCGGCATCTTGTGCCTACTTCCTTGCATACGGATGGCCGCTGCGAATGATTCAAATTCATGTTCTGGTACTTTCACTTCCAGAGACAGTCATAAGCACTGTGTAACTACCTCGAGGGTGCTTGACCAATCAAACACAACGTGACAGGAGGTTAACTTCACGTCACCAAGGTGTCGCAAAGAGTACACCAAAACAGAACACCGTTCTCTTGTGTGCACCTACCTCAGTCGTCCTCAACCCGGTTGACCCTTGCGTCATGACGGAGCGGCCCGTCATACCGTTACTCCGGCGGGTAAGAGCGATCCAGACCGCGACTCCCTGGACAGACAGATACATATACCATAGGCAGGAAATTCAGACTGAGGTCATCATGGCTGCGTGCAGAGCCAACGGCCCCGACACGCGGTCTTTGCCGCCGGACCTGCATACATTCGGTTCCGCCTGGCAAAACAACAACGCATGGAAAGGTCCACCCTTCCAAGCACGATGCAAGTAGCAAAGGGGAAGGACCTGCCAAAAACAAAAGGGGAAGAGGACCATGCGGAAAAATTCTAAGTATGTGCGAGAGTTAAAAACAGCTCTTGGGCTCGAGCACGGCAACAGATAGCGTCTTTACGCGATTCTCACCCCTATCCCCCCACTTCCGTTCCCCCTTTCTTTCCAGTCCCACCGAAAAAAAAACGTTCCACATACATACCTCTTGAACGCTTCTGCCGATGACCATGTGGGAGGGGCAGAAGGTCCCACTCGGCGCGTGCACGTCCCCGTGGAGGCGGCCGTAGATCGACTGCCAGGTCGGCGGGGGCGCCGGAGGAGACACGGCCGACCTCGCCACGCCCTTGCCCTTGCCCTTGCCGTCGGCGTCGTCGGGGACGCGCCAAACCTCCGCGTGGCGCTGCTCAGGCCCGAGTCTCCAGCGCGAAACGCACAGGGTGCTCCAGCTGGTTGCGAGAGGGATGCGCAACGTGGGGGGACGGGGAGAAACAGAGCGGTGTAGACAGAGGACGAGCACGACCAAGGGGCTGGCAACCGGCGCGGAGATGGGGGTCCAATCCACCCAGCTCTTGTTTCGAGGTGCTTGATGTACAATGTGGCCCATCCGACAACAGCCCTACCCACCAGGTGCGGTCTCGGACCCAAACCCTCCAAGCCAAAACAGCCTTCGTTTGTGGTTCGTCGGCCCTCCGCCACAAAGGCAAAAAAAAAACACAGACAACTCCAACTCACTTGCAATCCCACGTGCACTTGTCCCTCCACTCGCGCGACACCTTACTGGCCTCCTCGAGGGACTGCGGGCCAAGGAACCCGAACACCGAGAGCGACAGCAGCTGCCCGAACACCTTCGCCGACGACGCCACGCCCACCACCGCCTCGGCGCCGCCGCCGGCACCGCCACTATCCAGCCCATGACTGCCACCGTCGTCATGCCTCTTTCTCGCCGCGGTCTCGCCATCGCCGGCGGCGCCGGCAGCACCGCTCTCGACGTGCGCCGAAGAACCGCCGCTTGCGCCCTGCTGCTGCTGCTGCAGCTGCCGCAGCGCCTCGGCGAAACGTGCCGACAAGGAGGCTTTATCCTTGCGGAGGGCGATGCAGGTGGAGATCAGGTCCCGCACGAGGCCGGCGCTGCAGGCGACGACCGCGGCTCGTCGGGGGCCGCGGGTCGGGATGAGGCTCGTCGCCGCGGAAGCGGAGAGGTTGGCCCCGCTAGTGCTGATCTCCACGAGCGCCTTCGGAAGAAGTGCCAAGGGCGGCGGAAAGGAGCCCGGGGAGGGCGAGGGGGGGGGGGGGCACCGTAACGTCGTTATTGATACATACATTTAAGGGCTTGCAATCACGCGTGCATGTAACGAGAGATGACAAGAGCCAACGGCCCTGGGTGGTGGCCGCTCTTCAACAGCCTCACGGCCGAGAATTGTTTCCGGTTCCCTGTCCCGTCGTTTCTCAAATAGTCAAAAAGCTACGCGTGCATGAGCATGAGGGCCACGGCATGCACACGGCTGCTGAACGAAATCACTGGAAGGCAGGGGGGGAGGCCGCCCCAACAGTCGCGATGAATGCGTACCAAGATGAACCGACGTCAAAACGGGGCGGGCGGCGTACAAGGCCAAAAAACGTGACAGCGGGGTCGCGGTGGTGTTCCTTCAGTACGCGATAACGTACAGGTGGTATTTCCCCCAACTAACTTATCAATCCCTCGCACCACAACATGAAGGTGCTACTGTTGTAGCTGGCAGTTGTACGTGATTCACTCGAGCGCAGCCAGGTAGGTATGCACACCCAGGGTAGAGACGGCACACACTTTTGGCACGGTGCATATCCACACCCCACTACTCTTCTCAAAACGTTCAGTATTCTCACTTTTGCTGGGTTCTGCATGAGTGCAAAAAAAAAGGGCCCAACAAAAAATCGCGTACGAGAGAATGTATCCAGCAGGTGAGATGCAGGTCCGCATGGTGGGACGCCCCCCAGCCCCCCGCCGATCACCCCTTTCTGCGATGCGGGCCGGGTGTCTCTGCGGCAATCCACCTAAAAAAACTCACGCAAAGGCAGCACCGTGCGCCCCGTCAACCTCGCCGACAAACGGGCTCAATAAACCGCTGCAGCATGCCAGAGAAAGACCCGCTAGAGCAAGTTTCGGCAACAACCGGCTCCATGCAGTCGATCGACAAAGAGCGAAAAACACAAGAGACAAAATACTACTTACGGCCCTTGCAAAGTACTGGAGGCTTCATGAGCTCGAAGGCTCCTATTACACTGTACCACGTCTTTCGTGAGAACATGGGTGGGGTGGCAACAGGGGAGGGTGGATGGGGATACAGGTGTGGCGTCGGGAGGGCTGCTGCCGGTTGCCGGAGAGAAAAAGGCGAACACGTTCTAGGTGCGCATAAATACCTACCTCGTGAAGGTTGTCCAAGCCGTCGTTCATCTGCTGCCGAAGCAGCTTCGCGCGGTCGCGCTTGCGGGAGAAGCTCTCCCCGCCCCTCTGGTTAGGAGCACCCTGTGCCAGCAACGAAAATTATATTGATGAGATAACACAATAAAACTACTGTACCACGTTCAAAATAACACCAAGTAGTCCCGTTTTAGAAAGTGCGTTCTCCCACACTAGTCTAGTCGAGGTGTTTTATGAAAAAACGCTGAGGCTGAAGCTAGAAACCGAGGCATTTTTCGAGAGAAGTGTCGGGCTTCAAGTACTCCAGCATCATGTTCAATCCTCCCAGGCCTAATGGAAAATGTTGACACTCTGCCGAACAAGTCGCCTGAGAGTCGACATGGCCCGAGCGAGCGGTTACAGTTTACAATGTTACTTCCGCTCGGTGGCCCGAAACACGTTGATCCCGACATGCACCCCTCTTGAAGACGGCAATGATGTCAAGCAACAAAAAAACACGAGTCGCCGTCATGTTCCCCCAGAGCACCCTAGCTCCAAGAAACGCACCTGAAGACGTCAACTGCTGTTGTCATGAAAATTCGTGAAGCATACTTCGTACGTTACATAATGCGTACATACACGCTGTAACGACAGAAAAATCGACCAATAGTGCAACGTCCGCCTCTGTTGGACCAAGACATGCACACCACCACCAGCATTTTTTTCGTCTGTTCAAGAAAATACGGAGCGTAATTACAACCATCACAGCCTCGGCACCGCAGGGCAACGACCCTTGAAAAATAAACAAAGCTCGCCTGCTGCTGCTGCTCCGCGGGAGGTCCCTCGGCGGCGGCCTGCTGTTCAAGGGCAGCGCCTGTTGATTCCGCCGCATTACTGCTGCTCAGCGCCGCCGGCAAGTTCGCTTTGCTACGAGCCGACTCCGGAGCGGGCCCAATTTTACGCTGCTGCCGTTGCGACGGCGGCGGGGCAGGGCGTGCTGTCGCCGAGGGCGGTTCCTCGGACGCGAGTGGAGCGGGCGGCGGCGGCGCTGCCACCAACGTCGACGGCCGACACGCGATTTGAACCCGCACATGAGGTTGGTGCTGTTGTTGTTGCTGACGGGCCGGTGTCGGCGCCGCCGCAACAAAGGGCATCGGCGCAATAGAGGCCACATTGCTGGATGCCGGAGCGGGCGAGGGTGACGGCATACCCACAACGGGGTCGGCCACGCCTGCCGCTGCGATCAACGCCGCCGCCGTGTCATCTCCGGTCAGCAGCGGGCCGAAGTCGGCCTGCTCGTCGAAAAACAGGCCTGCGTTAGTCGAGAAGGCGCGCCGCCACAGGTCGTCGTCCTGCATCGCACCGTCCATGACTTTGCTCCTCCACTTTTCCGGTCTTACGCAATGTCCGTGGGAGTTCGGACGTGCGTTCCCTGTGCCCTTGTTGAAGGTCCCGCTGTGCTGTTTGGGGTGTGTCGGCGTGTCATGCCACGCCTAGGAGCCCCGCGGAATAAAACAGGGGTACCACGTCAGTCCGAGGGGGTTGGGCTGTTCGTCGAGTGAAAGTCCAAGCCACCGCACCCAGCTCAGCACTCTCTCCCTGCTGGCGCGTTCGTGCTCCTCCCTCTCCTCCCACACACACACCACGGTGGTTTTTGAGATTGCGTCGGGCGGATCGCTGGCTCTGTTGGCCGCCAGACTTACTCCCAACCTCCCATTCGTCCTGCTCAAGGTGGCGACAACGCTTCGTCGCGTCGTTCTCCCGTCGTCGGACTACTAATAGCGCCCGTCTCTCGGCAAACCAAGCCTCCTGTAACTGCAGCGGGCAACATTCACGGCTGCTGCTGCTGTGTTCCCGGGTGAGATACATCACAGCACACGATCCTTCTTCGGCTTCACGCAGCGGAGCAAGGAGAACCCTGGTCGCGGAGTTTCCGCTTGTTGTTGTTGTCGTTCCCATCGAGCGAACAGCAGCGGCCCAAAGCACGTGTCTCAGCAGCGGACAGCAGCTGCAGCACACAGCACACACACACAGCCGACCGCGACCACCGCGTCAGCAGCAGCAGCAGCAGCAGCATGGACGCTCCGAATCTTCTCACCATCGAGGGGAGGGGGGGGGGAGCCCAGCTAGTAGTGCCTCCGCCCCCTCCGCTGGCTGCCGGAGAGGGCTCGGCGGACGGGCGCGAGGGGAACGCCGATCGAGATAAGTTCGATCAGTCCGCTGGCGGTACCACCGCAGCAGGAGCAGCGGAAGCTTCTGTTGCAGGTGCGTCGTTCGAAGAGCTTGCACTTTCGGGGGATTGTTGTTGTTGTCCCTTCAGCAGTAGGACAAATGAGAAGACGTTTTTTGGGTATCATACGCGGGTTTGGTCGGAAGCTCATAGTAGTTGCCCGGGGAGTGTGTGTATGGAGCACGTTGACGTGCGCCCGGGTTAGAATCCTTGTTGTGGGGATGTCAACGCATGTTTCCCGGACGAAATTTTTCTCTCGAGTACCATTTACTGCGTGCGGACTAATAACTCTGTGTCGTATTCCGGAGTAGAGTTTACTACAACTACCGTAGGAGTTTTATGGATGCAATCAACCGGACTGCTGAACATCCTCAATGTGCCGTTCAGGCGTACGCCTTACGTATTACAGTAATAGATGTTCAACATTTATCCGGTGCTCCGCGGCTCAATGGCACTCATGCCGGTGAGTCTTCCGCGACTTTTGGTGGACGTTGCCGGGCGGGGAAGTTGTACTTGCTTGTTGTCGTGTCTTCCATTCAAGGGACACGCGTCTTGTGATTACCTGCCAGGTATACAAATCTACCTACACGTATCTAGGTTTTCAGCTGTTGTCGCGTCCCGCCCTTCCGAACTGTTCGCGAGGTTTCACAGACATGGACATGCTGTACTTGCTTTTCTGGGTCGGGTAAACAAAGTTTTCCTTGTCGTCGGTCTTGTCAGGCCGCTCGCTCGGGCCGTCTACAGGTTGAGCCACAGACACGGCACCTACACGGGAGAGAGTCTGACATGAAGGAAAGCCCTGTCTGCTCTTCGTTGCCATAGTTCCTAACCCCACCCGCCCCCAATGCTGACCGGCGGTGTTTTTGGTTTTCCCCTCTCTCGCGCATCCCGTTTCGACCTGTTGCAGAAGTAAACCCGGATGACCCAGATCACGATGCTAAGGTATGTACGGATAGTTGGTGGTTTCGTATGACGCGGTAGAATGCCATGGTGCTGCTCGAGCGAGCGAGCGATTATCAGCGTGTGTGGCATTTCTGTCGCATTGCGGTCTGCCGCACTGGCGTCCAATGTCTACCTTCGCTCAACTCGGTTGATAATGTTTCGCACCCCACCCCCCGTTGACGTCGAGCCACCCTATTTGCCCAACGCTTTCCGTTTCGATGATAATGATTCCGCAGCCACGCGGTTGCGGCGTGTTGTCCTGTCGGAAAGATTGGCGGGACAACGAAGAAAACCGACCCCTCTGCGCGCACTAACCCCGTGGCATCATCACTCCCGCGCTAGAGCCGGCGATACTCTCCTGCTGCCACCCTCCCTTTCACGAAGACGTGTCTTTTTTCCCATGACGCTGATTTTTCTCCCTGCTCTGAAGACTGGCGTCAGGTCATTCTAGTGAGCCCGTCAACGCGATCGATGTAGAAAACTGCGGGTACATAGTACACTGGCACTCAAGAATTTTTTTTGACTGGTTAGTCGGCCAGCGAGGATGGTGCCACTTCACGAGACCAACACACGCACACACATACACCTCGTGGGGTCCCAGATCATGGGCGCCTTCAGAAGCGTTTTGTGCTTTTAACCACACTGAGACCGACGTCTTCACATATTTCCAGCCGGTTACATTCGCGGTCGATGCTCATTTTTAAGACCGGCGTCACTGTCCAGTCGATACTAGCGCGGGCGATGCTAGTAATTATGACCGACGTATTTTCATTGTCCAGCCGTTTATGTAGCGCTATCGATCCTATCAATACCGACACACGCGCAAACGCGCATATTCCTTGGCCGCCGCGCAGGTGGTCGCGTTCGAGCGCTGGCTGCTGGAGAACGGAGCCAGGTTTCCTCGGCTCGAGATCCGGCGGTACGACCCCGAGGTTCGAGGGGTGCACGCCCGAGGGGAGATAGACCCCGACGAGGTCATCGTGGAAATCCCGCTCAAGTACGTGCGTAGGTGTTGCTGGGTCCATTGTTGCCTGTTTACCCCTTCCCACAATGTGTCAGTTGGACCAGCGCGAATGTCAAGACGGGACGGTTTTGAATGTGACGACAACAACAACACCAACAACAACCACCACCACCACCACCACCAATATGCTAGTGCAAGGCGATGAACGCTGCACCGGGCTGAGGTCATAAGATGCGCAGAGTGAGGGTAAGTAGCACGGGCAAGAGCTCAAATGCAAGAAGGCGTTTATATGGGCAACCCTTAGAGTTAGGATTAGGTTTGCATATCTCGCACCGCAGACACGGAGGTAGAACCTGCGTCCAGGGGTAATTGGTTTGTTGGGTTGGAAATTTGTGTATTGACGAAATGGGTAGAAATAAAACGGAAACGTGCGTGCATTTGTTCCTCCGCGCACTATTCTGCGGATCACTCCCGGTACGCACGCGTCTGTTGCTCTGGAGAGACCGTCTGTCCACCAGACGACCGTGGGACCAACACTCTCCTGTGGTCTGAGATAGCAAACCGTTGAAGGGGTAGATACAAAGTAGACTCTCATAGGTACATTCACAGCAGTTCCCGTGGCCGCCATCAGGAGAGGACGTTCACAGGTGTAAAATCCTTGGGAGGACGGCAACGTTGGGGGCGTTGAGCACACCGGTATTTGGGGGCCATTGCAGGCGGGTGGCGTGCCACTTTTTGATGCTGACGTCGACCGTTGGATTCGAAATCCTGGAATCAGATATATACATCGGATCCCGCTCGGGCACGCGCACGCCCTCCTCCTCCTCCTCGCCCACCGAGTTCACTCTTGTTCTCCACCCTCTTCTAAAGCTCTTGAGGTTTGCAAGAACCTTGCGTCACACCGCGCCGTCTCCAGCTTGTTGAGTCATCCCTTTCCCGTTTCTGCAGGGACTATCCTCTTCACCTCTTCCTCCGCTGTCTCGTGGTTCCTGTGGATCGGCAGTCGCCAGCTTCATGCCACGCCAGCCTGTCATCATCGACGTCCTAAACTCTACCGGTGTGTCTCTTGTCATATGCCATATGACAAGAGACATACCGGTAGATGTTAAGTCTTCGAGGATGACCGGCTGGCGTGACGTGAAGCTGGCGACTGCCGACCCACAGGAACAAGAAGCAGCGGAGGAAGAGGCCGACAGGATGGTCGCTGCAGAAGCCGGAAAAGGATGGCTCAGCAAGCTGGAGACGGTGTGTAATGGGTTGATCGCGGATTAACAACAGCACCACGAAAACGCACGTCGCTCTTGTTCTATTTCAAATGCTTGATTTGATTGAAACCCGCATGCCCCCACCCGAAAACAAGCCAACACGCACACACACACACACACACACACACACGCACACGATGCACCTGAACAACAGGTGCCTGGTTACGGTGGAGATGGGCAAGGCTCTGCCGGTGGGCCAGGCCGTGCTCGCGTCCGGTGTGTCGTTCGACGCCCCCAAGCACATCTTCCTCATGCTCTTCATCCTAACCGACATGAGGAGGCCGGACACGTTCTTCCGCCCTTACTACGACCTGCTGCCCACCACCCTGAGCAACATGCCCATATTCTGGACGGAGGAGGAGATGAGGTTACTCCAGGGATCCTACCTCGTCACCCAGGTGCGTTTCGTTTGTTGTCTCGTTTTTGTCAGGAAAGCCTGCCGAAGGCGGGGGGGGGGGACGGTTAGAGCGGGGGACCCGTGTGGTTTTACAGCCTGCGCGAGGACACGAAAGTTGGAGTTCATTTTCTTGCCCGCACGCGCATCTGTTCCATCTGAAAGGAATTGACTGCCGTTTTTTTTTTTTGCTTTTGCGCCGCCCACATAGAGTCCCTTACAACAAACGGAAGCAGACGGGGTTGTATCAACGCCCTGTTAACCCCCCGCCTTTTCGACTGCTGTGCCCCTCACACGCATACAGGTGGAGGAGCGAAACCAAGCGATCGAGGGCGACTACGGCGTCATCTGCGACCTCTACCCGCCGTTCCGCGACGTGGCGACGCTGGAGGAGTTCAAGTGGGCCCGCATGTGCGTGTGCAGCCGCAACTTCGGGCTGGACATCAATGGGCTGAGAACCAGCGCCCTGGTCCCTTACGCGGACATGCTCAACCACTACCGGTAAGAACGGGGAAGTTTTTTTGTGGTTGGGCGTTGGGCGGTCGGGTGTCGGGAAAGGAAAGTCGGTGGGTAAACGGAAGCGTGGTCGCGAGAGAGAGGAGAGTTGTTACTTGCTTCTTACCGACACGCTCCCCCCCCCGTCCCTCAGTCCGCGAGAGACGAAGTGGACCTACGACAACAATCGCGGGGGCTTTACCATCACGACGCTCCACCGCATCCTGGGCGGTGCCCAGGTGTACGACAGCTACGGGCAGAAGTGCAACCACCGCTTCCTGCTCAACTACGGCTTTGCGATAGAGAACAACCAGGAGGCGAACGGCTTCTGCCCCAACGAGGTGTGAGGGTCGTTGCGTGCGTGCTCCTCGCGGGGGGTGATGGGTAGACGAGAGGGTGCATGCATCTAAATCCGCGATCGACGTCGTCGCTCTCGCGCGGATGTGCGCATGCGTGTCAAGGGGAGAAGATTAATATTTCCTTCTTTTTTGGGGTATTTTGTGTCGCCCCTTCCTTCCTCTTTACCTGTCTCTGTGTTTTTTTTGGTGTATCACAGCTTCCTACCTTTCCTTTTCTCGCTCAAACTCGGTCTGCGTGTGGTCTCCCCCCCCCCCCCCCCCCCTCTCTCTCTCCCAAATTACTGTCAACCCATCACAACCTCTAAATACCATGTTTTTCCCCACATTCCCCTTTCCTCATCCATGTGTGTGTGTGCGTCTCTCTGGGTATACCTCTGGATGGTCTCTCGAAGGTCCCGCTGCTGTTCCGCTTGGACGCGCGAGATCCCCTCCGACAAAAGAAGGCCAGGTTTTGGAGGATGGACGGGCCGGAGCAGAGGCGCGTCCGGCTGTGCGTCGGCGACACGGACGCCGTCAGAGGCGCCCTGTCGATGCTCAGGGTTATCGTTGCCGACGCGGCGGAGATGGTGGGGGTGGAGAATGAGTCTTTAGAGCGGCGAGAGAAGGAGTTAGGCGGTAGAAAAGAGAGGGCGTGTTGTTTGT